AAATCAATTTAACGATAATTTGTATCTATATTCATGTAGGTCTATTACAGACTCTTATGATATGTCCAATCTACCGTCAGTTCGGAATGATTTCGAGATGAGAAGAACTGAGAAGAAACTCAGCTCGTATTTTTTTCAAATAAATGTTGTACATGTTTACAATAATACAGATTCATTTTTAAATTCAAAATGCAAAATCAAAATATCTTTATTCATGTAGGTCTATTACAGACTCTTATGATATGTAAAATCTTCCGTCAGTTCGGAGTCATTTCGAGAAATATAAATAATAATAATCTTTATTCAAATAAACTCACTATAAGCACTTTTGAATAGTCAAGTTTTTTTATTCTACCGCTCATTCGGAATGCAGATTCATCACAAGAAGAATAAGCAAGAAACTTGTGTGTTGCTCTTTTAAATAAATATTGATTTACTTATATTTAATTAATAACAAGGATTAGGCATGCGACAATCAACATAGAAACCGCTACGCATTTAATCTCTGTTCAATCAGATAACATTGTCAGCGCTATGAATATTAAGTTAGATATTTTATACAAAAACATTATTATCATTTATAAATTCTTCAATTTTATAATAAGCTTTTTTATAAAGAAAATATTTTATGACACATTTGAATAGAATAGAATAGAATAAAAAATCATTTATTCAAATAAACTTAATTTAAGCACTTTTGAATAGTCAACATTTTTTTAAATCTACCGCTTATTCGGAAAGAATTGATTTTTTTTCTGGCAAATTGAGTACAGATGAGAAGAATTGACAGGAAACTCAGCTCGTATTCTTTTCAAATAAATGTTGTAATTGTTTACAATAATACAGATTCATTTTAAATTCAATGAGGGACAATAGAGCGACCACCAGCATATGATATTGTCAAAAGGAAATAGTCTAAGGAGGAGTAACCCAGTAAAAAAAATGAGTTTTACAACAGTAACGACGTCGTAAACATTTATCTTTAATGTCTGCTGACACCGGAATGGTGCGGTCATGAATTCCTGTTATAATTTATAAACTTCAAAAAAAATCTCATCTCCCCTCTTAAGGAGAGGAGATGGCAACATACCCCCGGCAGAAGCACAGTCGGCCGGGGTTCAGGGCCCCAGGGAGAGAAACCGGCGTACAATGCGGGCAGAATCTAACAGCACCGCTTTCTGCATCTTTCCCGGCAGTGAGCCGCCCCGGAATCCCAACCGTCTGAGATGTTGTTCCAGACTGGTTGGGATAAGACCGTTCACCGACATAACGATTGGAATGATTTCGGTGGACATCACCCCCCACATTTCGGTCACCTCGTGAGTCAGGTCGAGATATTTTCTCCTTTTCTCAGTTTCGGCTTTCACGAGGTTCTCGTCATGCGGTATGGTGATGTCCACCAAAAACACCCTCGAGAGTGCCCGATCCATCACCACGATATCAGGTTTGTTCGCAAGAACCGTCCTGTCCGTGATGATGGATCGGTCCCAGTAGAGCTTGACGCTGTCGCTTTCGAGGACCGGCTGGGGCTCGTACTTATAGTACGGCAACCTCTCATTCGCGAGGCCGTACTTCAGAGGTAGTTCTTGATGGAGTATTTTGGCTACCTGGTTGTGTCTGTGCAAGTACTCAGTGTTTATTATAACACTTTATTGCGCCAACATATAAAGGACATGAACAAAATTAAAAACATAAAAACAAACTAAGTACAAATTCGGGCTCATGAGAATCGGTCAAGCCGTTTCGGAAGAGTATGGGAACGAAAACTGTGACACGAGAATTTTATATATATAAGATTATATAGTATACTTACTTATAGTATATCTTACTAATATTATACACGCGAAGGTTTGTGTGTATGGATGTATGTTTGTTAGTCTTTCACGCAATAACTACTCAACGGATTTTAATGAAACTTTACTGTAATATAGCTTATACATCAGAATAACATATCTATACATATAAATATAATTGGAGTGTCTGTTTGAAATATTGAAATAATCGTTTTTTACTACATGCATATGAATATAAATACTGTACATATATCAAAATAACATATTTTACTATTTTTGTCTCTCCGTCTGTTTTTTCTGGCTAATCTCTGAAATGGCTGCACCGATTTTGATGGGACTTTTATTGGCAGGTAGCCATGTAATAAGGAGTAACTTAGGCGACTTTTATTTTAGAAAAATAAAGTTAAATTCCACGCGGACGAAGTCGCGGTCACAGCTAGTGTGTTATATTTATGGGTATTAACTGCGCTATAAGTACTTTGACGACCGGCGTGTATCGTCATATCGCCGTTTAGGGAACTATCGTAAAACCTGAATATACAGCACTATGTCTGCCCTCGACTTCGCTTATAAATGGCCCTCGAGGCAGAGCCCGTAAATACATACATTATATACATAGAAAACACTCAGGCCGATACAAACAATCATACTCATGAATACAAATGTTTGTGCCGTACGAGGAATCGAACCCGCGACCATCGGAAGTAAGACAGTGTCCTAAACCGCTATACCACCGAGGCATATTATGTACTTTTGTATGTACAGTGAATTACGTCTGCTTGTTTTATAAGCTTCTCATATCTATACATATAAATAAAATTGGAGTGTCTGTTTATAATATTGAAATAACCGTTTTTTACTACATGCATATGCATATAAATGCGGTACATACACCAAAATAAATTTTTTTATGGCACAAATCGTCGTAAAAATAACGACCGATTGCCATAAAAGAAAAGAAGAAGAAATTTTTTTACAGTTTTTGTCTGTCTGTCTGTCGGTCTGTTTGTTCCGGCTAATCTCGGAAATGGCTGAACCAATTTTGACGGGACCTTTTTTGGCAGGTAGTTGATATAATAAGAAGTAAGGCTACTGTTATTATAGTAAAAATAAAGTTAAATTCCACGCGAACGAAGTCGCGGGAATAGCTAGTAACAAATAAATCACTTGCAATTCATTTGTAAATTCTTTCACGTACAAAACTCATTTGTATCGAGACAAGCCGCGTACTTCTTTGAAAATTTCACATTTTCTGAAGGAAACATTTGTTTTGTACGTGCTTACTATTTACTAACTTACTGCTCCGGTTTTGCTCGACTGCAGTTTGTTTACGCCAGAATCGCTCTATTAGCAACAATATGCAATACTTATAATTATTGCCAAGAAGATATTTTAGGCACTTCGTAATTTATAGTTTATATCAATATTACTTTTCATTCTTATTCAAATACACGTCCCGTAAACACTTACACAACTTAAGGCGCACGACAAATGTCTTTCAAAATAATTTCTTTATAAAAAGACGCTCGATAAAATCCAAACAAAATAATTTGATCAACATGTTTACGCCAGAAACGCTTTATTAGCAACAATATGCAATACTTATAATTATTGCTAAGAAGGTAATTTAGGCGCTTCGTAATTTATAGTTTTATGTCAATATTACTTTTCATTCTTATTCAAATACACGCCCCGTCAACATCGATTAATGGCATTATTAAAACACTTCAACCATTTAATAATTCTTACACAACATAAGGCGCACGACAAAAGTCTTTCAAAATTATTTCTTTAATCTCTCGATAAAAGTCCCTAAAAATAAAGAGTTCAACAAAAGTCGCTCGATAAAAGCCTAACAAAATAATTAATTAATATATTATAATTAGATCAACATGTTTACGCCAGAAGGGCTCTAAACATTTAGGGGGATGAAAAATAGATGTTGGCCGATTCTCAGACCTACTCAATATGCTCACAAAATTTCATGAGAATCGGTCAAGCTGTTTCGGAGGAGTATGGGAACAAAACTGTGACACGAGAATTTTGTATATAAGATGTTACAGTAAATAAATTGAATCGAAATAAGTAGACACCCCTGAAATAAATAGATCAGGTGGCAGCCCTGACAGCAATCAACCCTGCAGGTTACACAGTGCCAATTTTAAAACGTTCATTTCTATACGAACAAAAAGTTGTACCCCATTAGTACATTAGGGGTTGTTTGGAAGGGTTGTACTGCGGTCGAGCCTCGGGTGGACGGGGGGTGGAAATTGATATTACGTGTAAAAAAAATCAATATATTACATGCATATTTGATGAACTCGGTGGTGAAGTGGTTTAGCATGCCGCTTTATGTCCGATGGTCGCTGGTTCGACTCCTCGCACGGTACAAAGAATTGTATTGAGTTTTTTTGTATCGGTCTGGGTGTTTTTTATGTATATTATCTGAGAGACAGGCAATTTTATATTAAACAAATGTCATGTAAAAAAGCCTATTATAGGACAGATGAATTTATAGATGATAGCAATATATAGCAAGTATAAGTTTATTTGCGGACAACGTTATAATTTATTTTTCATACTGCTTTCTTGATATATGATAGCGTAGCGGCTTTTGTATTGATTGCCGCATGCATCCTCATGTAAAGTGCGAATACTGTAACTACCATATAGTAATTTTTGTAGCTGTGACGTGGTCGTGTGGAATGAGTCATGCTCACTGAAATGTCCAGACATGTGGCGGCGTGGTGGGCCGGGTCATTGGGCTCCCTAAAATATGGTCGAGCGCAGTGATGGCTGGCTCATCCGTCATACTCGTGAACGAGTGCTGCTTGTAGGGACTGGTCTGCTCTTATCACTAGACTGATTTAATTTTATTGTGTTGTTATATTTGACACAAAAAAATTAGTGCTGGTTGGTAGTTTGTATTCACACGTTTCGACTTGTAAAATGTGAACTTACAAGGATTGTTTAAAAGAGCAACGAACAAGTTTTTGCTTATTCTTCTTTTTAATTATTAATGTTTCTAAGGACTGTATATATTTTATATTATATTTTTAGTTACAAGAGAAACTACGGTCGCTGATGGTAAAAGACATATATTTCAAAGTGACAATAAAAATCGAACGAAACATAAAATATTTAAATATATATATAAAAAAATATAATTATCATATAAAAAGGTGCGTTATGCACATGCTCCCTCCCTTAACAAATAGGGATGATTTTCTTAATCGGTCTACGTAGCACACCTGCCTGAGTACTAACGTCTACGACCCGTGTCACGCCATCCTTACCCGGATACATAGCTGTAATTCGGCCTTTAGGCCAAGTACCTCTAGGTAGTGTGCCGTCAACGACTATAACGATATCTCCAATTGAAACTTGTGGCACTTTACCTACGAATTTTCTTGGTGATAATGTAGGTAGGTACTCGGTTATCCACCTTTTCCAAAAATGATCCGCCATACGTAGTGCTCTCCTCCAGCCTGCTCTACTACATATATCGCTGTCCGTTAAATTGGCTGGGATGGGACGTCCTGAAGAGTAACCAAGCAGAAAGTGTGATGGTGTTAGTGCCTCTGGATATTGGGGGTCGCAAGCCACGTGTGTTAGGGGGCGTGAGTTTACCAGTGCTTCTGCTTCACAAAGTAATGTGGAGAATACTTCATCAATAGGTGATCTAATATTGTTGCCCAGAGTTACTTTTAAGGCTGTCTTTACGGACCTCACGAGTCTCTCCCAAGACCCTCCCATGAATGGAGCAGATGGAGGTATGAATTTCCACTTAATCATTTCTCCAGCCGCAAAATTGGAAGTTACTTCTGAATACAAGGCTCTCAGCTCCCTGTTTGCTCCCACAAAGCTAGTTCCATTATCAGAATGGATTTCCGAAGGTGTTCCACGGCGAGCTATGAAGCGTCGTAATGCCATTATAGCAGCATCTGATGAAAGTGAGTGGACGATCTCAAGATGGATTGCTCGAACTGACAAGCATGTGAATAGAGCCACATAACGTTTCTCTCTTCTACGCCCAACTGCTACTGTTACGGGCCCAAAATAATCTAGACCTACAAATGAGAAAGGTCTGCAGTGGTGAGCGAGTCTGGCTGTTGGAAGATTACCCATAGTCGGTTGATATGTCACAGAACGGCGAACTTTACAAAATTGACAATTGAAGGCTACTGATCTAACTGTGCTTCTAAGATTTAAAATCCAGTAACATTGTCGTAGCTCGTTGACAACCATTTCTGTGTTGGCGTGGGCTGCCTTGCGGTGATAATGTAGCACGAGTAGCCGGACAGTAGGGTGTTTTCCATCAAGCAATATCGGAGATTTCATATCTTCATTTATGTCGGAAGCTGCTACGATACGAGTGGATAGTCGTAATATGTTGTTTTTATCAATAACAGCTGGTAATTTTGATAATCTGCTACGGTGTGACACAGGTATACCGATTGTAATAGATTTTATTTCTTGTGAGAACGAGTCTAATTGGCTTCTACGTAACACGTGATTTTCTGCTAAAAGTAAATCGTCCGAGTTTAGTGTGCTACGTATATTATTACATTGCTGATTAATGTTTGGATTGAATGGTGAATGAAAAGTGAAAATGTGGCCTTCTACTTTATGAATGAGTTCTATATTAAGGCCTTTTTTTCTTAATGAGACCAAACGTAACAATGATAAGTAACGGTGAGCATAGCCTGTTGTACGAATTAATCGAATCCATGAACTAAAACGTCGCGCGTCAGCTGAAATCGGACTATGCAACACCACCGTTTCATTAATGAGATGAATATGAGTTTCGAGTTGAGGAGCGATATCAATAGGGTGAGCATGAGTAACACTAGGTTCTTTTGGCCAATCGGAAGTAAGAAGGAAGTTAGGTCCCTTTATCCAACGCGAGTCTGGAGTTAGTGGACCTCGGTCCAAACGCGTCGTATCGTCAGCAACGTTAAGACTAGTAGGAACCCAACGCCACTCACTAACATCCGTGAGTTCAATTATCTCACCTACTCTATGAGCTACGAATGTTTTGTATGATCGTGAATCATTGCGAAGCCAACCCAAAACATTCATTGAATCGCACCAAAATGTACGTTTTATAGGTTTAAATTTTACTGCTTCTACAATGGTCGTAGCTAAACGTGCGGCTATTAATGCAGCTTGTAATTCTAATCTAGGAATACTAGATGGTTTCAAAGGAGCTACACGTGACTTGCTACAGACCAAAGCGAGTTGTACGTCTCCGTTAGAGTATGTAAAGCGCCAATATGCTACTGCTCCGTAAGCTTGGGCACTGGCGTCGGCAAAGACGTGTAACTCGGTTTGACTTGGTTGCAAAAAATGATGATTATAACAACGCGGAATTTTTATCTTGGCGGTAGTAATTAAATCCTGAAACCAATTATTCCATGCAATGGTTTCAGAGTTAGGGAGCTCGATATCCCAGTCTAAATTCATTCGCCAAGCATTTTGGAGTAAAATACGACCGCGAATAACGATAGGCGCGAGGATTCCTAACGGGTCGAAAACTCGCATGATTAAAGATAGTATTACACGCTTGGTAAGCGGATTGGGCAAGGTCTCTTGGCCTTGTTTAATTGGGGTATTAAAACCTATGAGATCTCTAGAAGGGTGCCAGTATAATCCCAATGCACGGACGCATGGTGACAGGGACGGAAGATTTGCTAGATCGATGTTAATGTCAGATACTGATTCCGATAAAAGATGTTTTGGTAATAAACGAAGTGCATTCGGGTCATTCGATATCCATCCGCGCATTTCCAGTCCTGCACGAGCATGGACATGGACAATATCGGCAGCCAACTGAGCAGCTCTATCACTGGAATCTACCGAACCTATATAGTCATCCATATAAGTGTCATATATAATGCCATGCACTGCTTCGGGATATTGATCTTTAACTTCTAAAGCGTTTTTATTTTTCATATATATAGCCGTAAAGGGACTCGACACTGCACCAAAAATCATAGAGGACATCCTGTAGGTAGTTATGGGTACATTAGGGTTATCACGCCACAAAAACCGTTGCGCATCCCTGTCTTGTTTAATAATTTTAAATCTAGGAAACATTTCTTTAATGTCAGCTGTCATCGCTACCTTTCCTTCTCTAAATCGAAGCAAAATATCGAATAATGATTGTAATAAATCTGGCCCTGTAAGTAAAAGTGAATTTAAACTAACCCCTTTAATTTTAGCGGCAGCATCATGGACTACACGCAGTTTTGCCGGTTTGTTAGGATTCACTACGCCAAAATGAGGTAAAAACCAACATACGGAATTCGAAGATGGCTCATTCTGACATATTTCAGCGTAATCTTTACTAACGAGGTCGTGAATATTTTGTCTATAGCGCTCAGCGTAGCCTGGGTCACTAATCATTTTCTTCTCCAAACTTAAAAAACGAGATAAAGCAAGAGAATGACTATTTGGTATAATAGGGTTGTCAGGTTTCCATAATAAACCTACTTCAAACCTACCACATGGAAGGCGGTTGGCAGTGCGCTCTAAAATTTCGATAGCGCACGCATCTGCTGTACTGCGTGGTTCTTTTTTACTAATACCTATTGAATCTAACCTATAATAATTCTTAATAAGGTTTTCTAATGAACTATTGTCAGTAGATGGAAAGTCAGACTCGTCAAATAGAACATGATTCACTATGTCGACCGGACTAGTCCTACTACTGCGAAAACCGAACAATACCCAACCTAAAGCAGTTCTAATTGCAGCTGGCTGCGACTTTGTACCATTCCGTACGCATTGAGGAATAGTGAGATGCCAGTTGTCAATACCGATCACAATCTTTGGTTGTGCATCATCATAACATAAAAATGGTACTAAGTCAGAAAGATAAGAAAATTCATTAATATTTTTAGGATAAATTGATTGTCTAGCTAACTGTAAATCTTTAATAGAACGGGCCTGTCTAACGTGATGTATTTCATCCGCGTGACAACCCTTAATGTTGAAATTGACATATTCTATTTTTATATATTTTGACAACCCCCCAACGCATTTTAAGTGAGTTTGTACACATGGACCCCGTGCTCCAATTTGAGCTGCGAGTTCCGAATCTATAAAAGTAGATGTGGACCCGTCGTCCAATAAGGCATGAGTATTAATACTACCACGTGGACCAGAGATCGTAACAGCTATTATTTTTAAAAAAGGTCGATAATTCGGATGTTTATTATTATTACATGGTGAGAACGAACTACTAGCGTGAGCAACGAAATCAGTCGTCTCTTTGCTCGAGGATTCATCAGAACTCTCAAGTTCCCCAGAGTGAGGAGTGGAAGACGATTCACCTTGTTCATCCTCATTTTCAACCACATAGGCAATATGTAATAATTTATGATGTCTAGAATTACATTTTTCATTGGTACAAATCTCTTTAGAAATATCACAGTTTTTATAATTGTGCAAACCTTTTTTGAGACATTTGTGACAAAGTTTTTTCCCTTTTACAAATTTCCACCTGTCATCAACTGACAATGTCTTAAAATCACAACAATGAGACAAACTATGTTCGTTATTACAAAATAAGCATATCTTTTTATTGTTGGATATGGGATTTGATGATTTTTCATGATTTTCAGACTGATAAATATACGGGGCCGTGGACGTAGATGGTTTGTATGTGTTAACTGTGTGGACTTTGTCGGCTTTCTTAGGGTAATTAATAGGCTCATTGAGAAGACCGAACTTGAGTTGTAGGTCCACCTCTTGTGCAAGGAAGGAGGCTAGCAGCTCAAGTTTAGTAGTCCTCTGGGTGAAATGAGTAGCTGCGTAGTCAGCCCATCGTGTTCGTAATAGAGGAGTAAGTTTACTAAGTACCGATTGAAAGAGTTCTGGTGATTCCAAGTAGGGTCTTTGTTCTAAAAGTCTCATTACCTCCACTGAATTACGGACGCGGCAAGAGAATTTATGAAGATCACTAGAATCGGTATTGACCTTTGGTAACGAACGGATTGACGCAACTTCTTGTAGAACTATTAATTCAGGTCTGCCAAATCTTAATGCTAAAGCCTGTATTACCTCGATAGGGTCTCGCGCAGAGACTAGCAGTACCGCCACAGAATCTTGTGCCGCTCCTCGCAGCGCCATACCAATCCGAGTCAAGTTGTCCGAAGCCGAGTATGCTGCATGTGTATTGTCATATACACGCTTGAAGGTCAACCAGTCCAAAGGCTTCCCGTCAAAGACCGGAAGACGCCCGTCTCCAAACGTCTTGTGCTTATTATTATTTGATAATGAGGTGATGGCCTGTGCTAATAAGGTTATGTCACTAGGCGATTTTTCAATTGAAGAAATGGGTTTAATTGTAGTTGAACTACAAATCGGCCTCGCGGGGCTTCTACTAATTATTAAATCGTTAGTCATATGTTCTTTTAAGACAGGACGGAGAACGTTTTGAGAGTTTGTGGCAGGCATAGTATAGGTGCTATTACGTGTCTGTAGAGGTGCTGGAATTGCCGCAGAACGATTTATTTTATTAATAGCTGATTCGCTACAAGGAACATTTATATTAACGTTCTGCGGTTGCAAATCTACGTCTATCGTAGTTATAGCAGTGTCTAAACATGTGTCTAGCCATTTCCGTACCTCCCTATTAGAAATATAACTTTTGGAACGACGACTACTATGTACGCTACCTCTTTCCTCCAAAGCGGCAATTTGTGCTTCTTTTCGTAGTTCTAAAGCAGCACGCTCTCGTTCCAATACGATACGCTCACGTTCGAGGGTAGCCCGCTCCAAGATTGCTATTTTTTGGGCATAGTCTGCTTCAATTTCTAGAGTACGACTTCTTATGGTAGCTGAAGAACCTGAAACAGAACTAGCCGCGCTGCTGGGAACTCCAGCGGTTTTAGCGATTACACTCGACGAGGGAATGCCAGGGCTTCCGTGATGTACGGTAGAAGACTGGCCCTGTTCCACATCAGATGCACTCGTTTTTTTTGTTGAACGTGTCTTTACCATTGTCTTTGTTGGCGAGAGGACCAATATTTTAATTATTAATGTTTCTAAGGACTGTATATATTTTATATTATATTTTTAGTTACAAGAGAAACTACGGTCGCTGATGGTAAAAGACATATATTTCAAAGTGACAATAAAAATCGAACGAAACATAAAATATTTAAATATATATATAAAAAAATATAATTATCATATAAAAAGGTGCGTTATGCACACTTCTTATGATGAGACAGCTTTCCGAATGAGCGGTAGATTTAAAAAAATGTTGACTATTCAAAAGTGCTTAAATTAAGTTTATTTGAATAAATGATTTTCTATTCATTTCATCATTTCATTCTTTTCATTCATTTCATTCATTTCATTCATTTCATTCATTTCATTCAAATCAATCATATCGTTCACTTCGTTCACTTCGTCCATTTCGTCCATTTCGTCCATTTCGTCCATTTCGTCCATTTCGTCCATTTCGTCCATTTCGTTCATTTCGTCCATTTCGTCCATTTCGTTCATTTCGTTCATTTCGTTCATTTCGTTCATTTCGTTCATTTCGTTCATTTCGTTCATTTCGTTCATTTCGTTCATTTCATTCATTTCGTTCGTTTCATTCGTTTCATTCGTTTCATTCGTTTCATTCGTTTCATTCGTTTCATTCGTTTCATTCGTTTCATTCATTTCATTCGTTTCATTCATTTCATTCATTTCATTCATTTCATTCCTTTCATTCATTTCATTCCTTTCATTCATTTCTTAATTTCTTCATTTCGTTCATTTCGTTCATTTCGTTCATTTCGTTCATTTCGTCATTTCGTTCATTTCGTTCATTTCGTTCATTTCGTTCATTTCGTTCATTGCGTTCATTTCGTTCATTTCGTTCATTTCGTTCATTTCGTTCATTTCGTTCATTTCGTTCATTTCGTTCGTTTCGTTCATTTCGTTCATTACATTCATTTAATTCATTTAATTCAGTTCATTCATTTCATTCATTTCATTCACTTCACTCACTTCACTCCCTTCACTCACTTCACTCACTTCACTCACTTCACTCACTTCACTCACTTCACTCACTCACTTCACTCACTTCACTCACTTCACTCACTTCACTCACTTCATCACTTCAGTGTGGCTTCAGTCACTTCACTCACTTCAGGGTTCCCTTCACTCCCTTCACTCCCTTCACTCCCTTCACTCACTTCACTCACTTCACTCACTTCACTAACTTCAGTCACTTCACTCACTTCACTCACTCACTCACTTCACTCACTTCACTCCCTTCACTCCCTTCACTCACTTCACTCACTTCACTCACTTCACTGGTGTATCACTCTGTCACTTGCTCACTTCATCACTTCACTCACTTCATTCACTTCATTCACTTCATTCACTTCATTCACTTCAATCACTTCATTCACTTCATTCACTTCACTCACTTCACTCACTTCAGTCACTTCAGTCACTTCAGTCACTTCACTCACTTCACTCACTACACTCCCTTCACTCCCTTCACTCCCTTCACTCCCTTCACTCCCTTCACTCCCTTCACTCCCTTCACTCACTTCACTCACTTCACTCACTTCACTCACTTCACTCACTTCACTCACTTCACTCACTTCACTCACTTCACTCACTTCACTCACTTCACTCACTTCACTCACTTCACTCACTTCACTCACTTCACTCACTTCACTCACTTCACTCACTTCACTCACTTCACTCACTGCACTCACTTCACTCACTTCACTCCCTTCACTCACTTCACTCACTTCACTCACTTCACTCACTTCACTCACTTCACTCATTTCACTCACTTCACTCACTTCACTCACTTCACTCACTTCATTCACTTCATTCACTTCATTCACTTCATTCACTTCAATCACTTCATTCACTTCATTCACTTCATTCACTTCATTCACGTCATTCACGTCATTCACTTCATTCACGTCATTCACGTCATTCACGACGTTCACGTCATTCACGACTTTCACGTCATTCACGACGTTCAAGTCAATGACTTCATCCACGTCATGCACGTCATTCACGTCATTCATTTCATTCGCTTCAATCACTTCAATCACTTCAATCTGCAAATCTGTGCTTAAATTAAGTTTATTTGAATAAATGATTTTCATTCTATTCTATCTTTTTTTGGGGTGATAATAGAATGCAGACACCTGTAGCCGCCTGCGCTAACGGTACAGAGGTTCCCAAAACTTTTTTGTGTCGTAGATCCCTTGCGATATTTTTCGGTTTTGGGTAGACCCGCTATTCTGACCTGGTTTTGATTTTTTGTAAATTTCTAACTATAGTAAAGTTTAGTGTTAAAAACTAGAGATGAAACGGATAGTAGTTTGGCCGGATACCGGATATTCGGCCAACCATGTGACCGGATATCCGGCGGAACTTATCTAACTAATAAATTAGTTTTCTTTCTATAACAGTCATTTACTATTGAGTGATTAAAAATTTTAAACTAAAAGTAATTTTATTCCTTAAGTAATACTAACACTAACTAAAGAAAGCAAATACAATTATTTAAAAAATGTTTTTTACCCACATTTTTTTTTAATTCGAATGGTGGTGATGTGGGAAAATAGATAGTAGCCGATTCTCAGACCTACTTGCATATTTGCATATAAAATTTCATAAAAATCGGTCAAGCCGTTTCAATGAAATTTTGTGAGCGTATTGAGTAGGTCTGAGAATCGGTCAACATCTATTTTTCATCCCTCTAAATGTTAGGGGTAGTCCACCCCTAATTTTTTTTTTATTATGTAGACAAAATTTTAAGTTTTTATTTTTTTATGATACAACATACAAAAATACATACAATCCTAGATTTTCACCCTTCTATCATCAACCCCTATTTTTTTATAGCGTTATTAATTTATAAGACAAAACAACGTTTGCCGGGACAGCATATATATATATATACAGGTCGGTATAGGAATGGGTTCACGTCAGCTACAGACAAACAAAATGGCGATCACATTATGAACTAATGAGCACGGGAAGTTAATAGAGAGATCCCACCGTGGGGTCCCACTGTTGGAGATATTCAGTGGACATAGTCTATACATATAAATAAAATTGGAGTGTCTGTTTGTAATTTTGAAATAACTGTTTTGTACTACATGCATATGAATATAAATACGGTACATACACTAAAATAACAGTTTTTACAATTTGTTTCTGTCTGTCCGGCTAATCTCTGTGTTGCAGCCTCTTTGACAGGATTGCTTGCTGGCCGGTTATAAGACGTGACTAGGACAGACGAAAGATTTAACAAGCTAGACAAGGAAAAAGACACGACGAGAAAAAAGATGGACAATTACATAGAAATTTGAATAATTATATTTTACTTTTAAAACAAACTCTCTTCTTTAATTACGACGACATTTCCTAACGGTCGGCCGATCAGCAACCGTTCACTCTGGAATGGTCGGACCGATTTTGACGGGACTTTTATTGGCAGGTAGCTAATGTAATAAGGAGTAACTTAGACTACTTTTATTTTAGAAAATTAAACTGAAATTAGTAATAATAGAACAGCTAGTAATATTAATAAGATATACTAGCTGTACCCGCGACTTCGTCTTTTTTGTTAAAAGTAGCCTAAGTTACTCCTTATTACATTAGCTACCTGCTAATAAAAGTCTCGTCAAAATCGGTCCAGCCATTTCAGACATTAGCCGGAACAAACAGACAGACAAACAAAAATTGTTATTTTGGTGTATGTACCGTATTTATATTCATATGCATGTAGTAAAAAACGGTTATTTCAATATTACAAACAGATACTACAATTTTATTTATATGTATAGAGTATAGATGTGAAAGTAGAGATGTTTGTTTGTGTTTCTTCGTGAAAGAGTAACATCCAACCATATTCACAAACTTTAGAGTATATAATATTAATAAGATATAACAACTAGCAATATATAAATGTTAGTCCTGCCCCGCTCCCGCTGCCGCCTGCTCGTCCGCTACAAGTGGCACCACCTCCCTCTAATAGGTCGAGGGACCATCCATCACCGAGCGGGGCTGAGCCGGCAGCACCCAACATCAGACCCGACTGTTGCGTGAATGTGTTAGACTTGAAGTTTGTTTAGATTTTCAGAATGCGAATGTATTAGAACCGACTCAAAATTTCAAAATATCTTTATTCATGTAGGTCTATTACAGACTCTTATGATATGTCAAATCTACCGTCAGTTCGGAATGATTTCGAGATGAGAAGAACTGACAAGAAACTCAGCTCGTATTCTTTTCAAATAAATGTTGTACATGTTTATAATATTACAGATTCATTTTAAAATTCAAATTCAAAATATCTTTATTCATGTAGGTCTATTACAGACTCTTATGATATGTCAAATCTACCGTCAGTTCGGAATGATTTCGAGATGAGAAGAACTGACAAGAAACTCAGCTCGTATT